CCTCTCTGATAATTTTAAACATCACCCAGGGAAGTATGGCATCACAGGAGTTGGTGAAATGATTTTTGCTTCTAAATGTTAGAGTTGACTAATCTTGTGTACACAATTTCTCTTCCCTAGACCTCAGTATCCTCTTTGAAATAGAAGGGCTTAGATTACACAATGACAAAGTCTCTATGACTTATAAAATTCATGAAAAAGACCAGCCACCGTGGTACAGGTGGTAGACCACCGCTACACGTTCTGGAGCTGTACGAGAAGGTTGAGGGTTCAGATCCTGTGTTTATCTGATTGTGTTGGGCATGCCTATGGATGTGCCCATAGTCTTGGCTGGCTTAAAGATGTGGGGGCAGGGTAACAGCACGGTGAGATCCAACTGATGGTGCCTCTCTCTCTCTCTTTCTCTCTCTCTCTTTCTCATAAAATAAATAAACGAACAAACTTAAAAAAAATCTATGAAAAGTATGTGTGGGGTTCAGTCAGTGGTACAACAGTAATGCAATGCTCTGTGATGCTGAAACCACATGAGAAGGTCACAAGTTTGTATCCCGAAGTCTCCCTGTACATATCAGGTGTACATGCCCATGCTCCAGGCTTGCTGAGGAGAGGGTTGGATCCAGATGTCAAGATTCTGTTGGGAGTGCCTGTTTCTTTCTCTCTTTCACTCATGGAAGAAAGAAATAAGTATACTTAAAAAAAAATAAGTATTTGTGAAACATCTCTCATCTGTGAGCATATACCAGCAACTGAAAAACAAAATTTGCATACATATGAACATTGCTATTAGGAAACTTACAAACTCATAATCAGCCCATCTGAATCCTATTGATTGGCTAGTGAATCATCTCTTGCATTCATTTTTTTCTTTTCAATTCCTACTGCAGCTGTCCTAGTCCACACCCTTTGAAATGACTCACTTGAACCAAAGCATAGCTTCCTAATTTCTGTTTCTAGTCTAGTCTCTCTACCCTCCACAACACCAGCAGGAGCATCCTGCTGA